CGTTGTCTTCAACACCGCGTCGCGCATAGGCGCGCTTCGAGATGAAACTACATGCAAAGTCGTTCACTCTTCCGCCAAAGCCAGCCACGCGCGATCGTCTGGAAAAGCGTGCCGATCCACGAGGAACGCTCTCGGGAATCGAAAAGAACCGTGGGATCAAGAAACGGATATCGCTGTTCCCTGCGCCGAGCAGAAAGAGCGTGGCGCTGCGAGAAAATACGAAAATTGCGGGGATTCGCACTTTTCTTACGGTCGATACTCTCAACTATGGAAGTACTCGGATTATTTGAATCGTGGTGCCGTTGCCGTCTACGAGGCAGCGAACCGAGATGCGGCGAGAATCGCTGCCAATAATAGAAATCGGGAAACCGATTCGACAAGATTGGCGGCGCCGATCGCCACCGCGGTGCTCTATCGCAGCCGATCACTGCCGCGACTGTCGATGCATGATAGCGGAGTGGCTTGCAGCGATCACACACCGGTGGCACCGGAACAAGTGCACGCGGCATCTCGCCAGTTGGTCGCGGATCTCAAACAACTGCTAACGCTAAAGCAACATTATTACCCGGAAGGTGGTTGGGGCTGGGTAATTCTCCTCGTGGGTTTATTGGTACAAATCTTGTCGCACGGCGCGCACGAAGCCGTTGGCGTCTTTATTCAGCAAGTGACAGTCAAGTTCGGACCTCATGTATATCTACAGGCAGGTTAGTCAACAAAATCGTGGCTAATGGCTGCAGATCATTGAATTAGATAATTAAATTATCTCAAACTTCTTTTACGTTTTTATAATCTATTCTAACATAAGTCCCAAAATTTTTAGTTAAGATTACATTAAAAAATATAATGTAAAATTACATTTTTTTAAGCTTTTTTGAGATAAAAAGAAATATGTTGCAAGATAAAATACTACAAATTTAAGAAAAATTACATATAATATAATATTTTTCTTATCGCGTTAAGTGACATAATTTTTCTTCATTTTTTAATTAAGTTGCATGTAGAAGTGACGATTACATTTTAATGCAATTTCTAGTGATCGATATGTTTGTGGGAATAAAAAGTTTAAAACTCATCGTGTTACGACAAACAGTATAAAATACATTAATGTAAACACTCTGTCTTTGTTCACTCAAAAAAATATTTCGCTGATGTAGTTAGATTTCTAGATATCGCAACAAGAATGTATCGCTATTTTTCGTATCTGTGAAAACATTGTTTGTCACATATAGAATTTATAGCAGTAATGTTCTAGCAATAGCTTTTGAAAAATTTAGGTACCATTGCTAAATGTTATTCATTGCATGATCTAACACGTGATTGATCTTATATAGATAGGCGCTTTAGAGAAACTTTCTTTTTAAAGTTCACAAACAATACAGATATATATTCTGTTTCTGTCATCTAAACTGATTAAGTAATTACATATGCAATATCACAACAGTTGCTAATCATTTATCTGTTTTAGTTAATTTTTTACACCTAGAAAATTTTAGCTATTATTGCAAGATCATTTTTTTTAGTGATATAGATGGTACTAATCGATGTTTGTTAAATTTGATCAGCTATGTGTTTGCATAACGAATCAATCGATATTCTCACACAAAAGCGCTAATTGAATTAAGTTTCCCTCGACTTAAATCACCCTCGCGCAAAAATGCAATGTTATTTTCAACAACAAAACAAAAGCAAAGTTATGAGTCCAACCATTAATATGAATTTAAAAAAAATATATCAGCGAAAGTTTTTTGAAAGAAAAATCGAGATAATTGTTTTAATTTGGACTGCGAAGGGTTGCGCGTTTACCGAAATTAGTCGTGGGAACGTCTCAGCTGATATCGCGGCTGTCTAAAGCGATGGTAACGTCAAAGTGAATTTTTAACATTGCCATTCAAACTTCGAATACTTTGCGACATTCGCTATCAGAACTGCACGTGTGCATATATCGTCTCGCTGGCGAACGGCCAAAAGTGGAAAATCGTGAATCGCGTTTGCAGCTGCATCTAATAAGCGGCGTTTTTGTCAGTTATTAATAATACTTGTAAAACTGAAAAGTCGTCATGTAAATGAATCTCCATTATTGCACTCATATATAAGGTGTTTCACACGATACCGAGAACTTGTACGTCATAAAGTATTAAACCCATATCATAAAACATTAGTAATATTCTATTTCGCAACAATTATTTTTTTAATTAACAGCTTAAAAAAAATTTGATAAAATATTTTTGAGAAACACTTGTACAAATATATTTTTATTCCGACACAATCTTCACTGTATCGAGAATCGCGATCGCTTTATTTAGTCGTATCCATAAACAAGACAGTTCGACAGGCGCAACAGCCGTCACGAATTGGCGATCTTAATCAACCTATGATGAATCTATCAAGAAATACTTCGGCTTTCGCGTGAGACGCGCGGCACAGAAATAATCTCACCAAAACGAGTACGACGGCATTTGTATCAACGGCTGCTCACGCCGGTTGTAATAAGCCATCCTTATAAGGCATTTCGCGCATCGGGATGACGGCACATGGTCTTTCCTCTGCACTTACGTTGGCCTAGATATTTCGCGAGACGGAAGTTTCCGCGTCGCGACATAAGGGGCGAAATTACGGTATCGCAGACGACAATGCTTGCAAAAACTGGTGTACTAACCGGCCACTTTATAGCGCCAAACTTCTTGTTATGGAATAATTTAAACAAATTTGATAAACTTTGTTACGCGAATATGCAGATTTGTGCAAAACGCGTAAAACAATTAAAAGGACGGATTTGGCGGCTCGCCTGCAACATTTTGTCTTCCAACAAAATATACAATCTTATTTATGATTTTAATATGCAATAAATATGTGTTGCAATAAAACTCGAAATACAAGATCATCAAATTTGAAGTGTACAGTTCTCAATTTTTTACAGTCTAAATAAATATAGCAACTAGAAAACTGACGTCATCGCAGCGGATTCATGTTAGAGCATTGATCCCATTCCCGTTCGAGAGCACGAGAAAGCGCTCTTTGCATGTATACACGCACATGAATATACGTGAATATAATGACCTTAGCGTAATTTAATGTCTTTTTTTTTAGCTAGCTCAGTCATTTTTCTATTTAATTATTCATCTATCTAATTGCTAGCCATATTCATGAAACCGAATGCCAAAAAAGGAGCTCGTGAAATCGGACGCAAAATGTACGGAGGAAGATATAAAATATAGAAGAAATATAGAAGAATTTTTAGAACTTACTCTATCAGTTACAAAGATTATTTTTATCACATGCGTTGACGCACACAATTTCGCACACAATTTCGCGATAATGCGAAATAAATTTTAATAAGATACGCACATCATTATATTAATGATATGGAAATAATATGCAGAATCAAATATAATGAAGATTTCACTGCGGAGAGAAAACGTCAGACAGGTGACGAACTGGCACATATAATAAAAACCACGAATTCAAAACGCAAGCAGCAAGTCTGAAAAAGCGTTAAGAGAGCGACAGATCAATTTTTTGTTGACGCACTTAAACACCTGCTTCGGACATCTTCGTTAGCTTTGGGCAACGAAAATTCTGTCATCCTTAAAAACTGCGCCCGTCGCCTGTCTTCCATATGATCCACTTACATGAAATTTCATTTATCAATATTGTTCTTTTTATATAATATACATTAATTACATTTCATTATATCACTTCGTATTTTCTACTCCTTCTTCACACTTTAATTCTTGAAATTTTCTCTTTTTGGAGAACAATTATAAAATTTGATTATGTCTGCTGTATACCTTTTTAACATATTTTGTAAATATTTTTATTAAAATCTATAAGAAATTACAGAATAAGTAATAATAAAATAAATTTACATATGTTATTAGATCTTTTCATAACTAATTATATATATTTACATCTGACCAATTATACAATTTTTTCCCGACTAATTTAATCTGTATAATGAGTCATTGTGCAGTACTCAATTCATATATTTTTTTACAAGTTCATCACGAACGTAATGATAAATTGAATTTTTTTTTGAATGATTGCAAATATTCGACATTTCATATTATATTATACAAGACAAGTTCGGATTTATGAAAAATCGTATGTTATTCATTACGTAATACACATGAATACTTAATAAATACATTTTTCAATCTAATCTCTTATTAAATTCTTTCTAAATTTGCATAACAAAAAACAATAAAAATTTATAATGTTTATTTAAAATTAATTTAAAAAAACAATGTCAGTCTCTAATTTTCTATGTATATCTCAATCAAAATGTAAAAAAGTAGGAAGTAAAACAATGATATGTAAATAAATACAAATACAAAATATATGATATATATATCTTATATAAAATCTCTTCGGAGATTTGAGAACTTCGTAACGCGCAAGTAGATAAATCTAAAGCGTTCTGAATCTAAATCTAATACTGAGGGGGATTCTGTATCCATTTTAAAGAGAAAAAAGGGAAGAAATTTGAATTATTTCTGAATATAGTTGGTTCAAAATTACATATTTTAATAATAAATATTTTAAGAACTTTGAACATTATGAAAATCAACAGAATAATTATTTAAAATAACACAGTCAGGTCCACTTATCTTAACCTTGAAAACACATAACAAATTCAAGACTTTGAACCCGACTGTGCAATTCTAAATAATTATTAACGTGGTAAAAAGAACTATCGTCTATTACAGCTAGACTAAAGTCTGTATTAAAAAATTTGAGTATCAAAAACATTAAAAAAGTAAAATTCAAAAAATTAAAATTTTATTAAAGCTATCGAATTTTAGAAAATTTTGTTTAGAATATTTTTACATTGTAATGTTATTTTTTCACAATTCATATTTTACACGTTACATTTTTACATGAATGTAATGAATAATTTTGAAAAATAATAATGTCCAGCTTGCAAAGAACAATTCTGCATTTACATTAAGCTAGCCCTTTCACCGTTAAAAAAAATACATTTTTTATGATAAACTACTTACCGTATCGTTGCTCTGTTGTTGCCCGATGCCTCCTAGGCCTCCTCCTCCTCTCAGCGATCCTTCGAGACACTCACACTAACTCACACGCGTTCGCGGCGCACGCTTTGCTCGCGCGCGTATCCGAATACGAAAATCGCGCGACTTACTTTAAACGGCACTCCCGACGTCGCAAGCGAATCGAACCGAATTGTCCAAGATGCGACGTTACGCGCGAGTTCCGTCCGCGTTTCAGACGATCGCACTTATTAATTGGGATACGATTATCTCAGAACAGAGGGCCTAAGCTCGAGAAAGGTAAGATGCGATTAGTCATAGGATCAACCGGATACCGATATCCCAACAGCATTTCAGAAGCCAATAGCAACGAACTCAAGTCAAAACATGCTGACTTCTATGCCGTGGTTTGTGTGATATCGAAGTTACTATCATGCATTAGTAACTTCATGTTTTTTTAACCATGCAAAAAACAACACGATAATCATGCATCATGCATTATATGATGGCACGTCTGACACTGAAGGGCCCCAGGTAATCGGAATCCTATGATAAAAATCGATCCTTCCCTCCCCCGAGCCGAGCCCAAAGTCGTGAAGAAAGTCTTCCGCGAAAAGGGTTCGATCGTATTCCAAAATTTATCATATAATTTGCAAAGTGCGTTCGTCTTACGATTCGCTAGAACGACGTTTCGTACTCGCGCGAAACTATCATAGCGCTGACACGAACGCACTCCCGACGCGCAATTTATTATATTACGGCGGAACGAATACGACGATTCAAAACGCGAAGGTTGCACAAAAGTCTCTCTGTAAAATATAAATACATTCATATTATAAAAGCATTCAAAAGCATATTATATAGCATAAATATATTATCCATAATAATAATATGTATATCCATAAAAATAAATCAAAAAAATAAAATTCTATTTTTCTATTCTATTGTAAAATTTTGCACATTTATTTTTTTTATAAATTAATATTATACTATTTTTAAGTCTCTTATTTTATATATGCATTATCAATTAATCATCATTCACTACATATTATATAAATAAAAAAAAAGCACACAGACACATATTTTCTTCAGAAATTGCGCTGCGTTAAGAAAGCTTAAAAAAAAAACTCCACTGATCTAAATCTAAGCTAGTTACGTCCTTGGATTTACCCCTCGATTCTCTCAGAAAAGAAAAATCCCGAGATTAAAATTCCATCGGATTGAAATCCAAAGCCGCCCGCATTTTCTCGCGGCGTCTGGCGTCTGGCCGGGCGAACGCTTCCGATAAGGGATGTGAAATATGCGTTCGTATACGCGCTAATTTTTAATATAAGCGAGACACGCGGTTTCTTCAAGGTGGAATACCCGCCAACTCGGACGATGAGACAGCGCAAAGATGAAAGAGGTGTGATAAAAATTACCGGACTTAAAAAGTTTTTTTTCGGCCTCCCGTGGCGGACGCTTTCAACACGCCGAGCTGACGCCTATCAAGATAAAGTCTAAAATGCCTATTGTCGCGCAGACACTCCTCTTTTTAAAGAAAGGTCGGGATATACCGGTTATTTTTTGCATGTAGAAATTACATTGAAATCATCGACAAGGCTCCACTGGTAATATTTTTTTTTATTATTTCTTTGGTACCGAAATTGCACAATAATATGTTCATTGATCATAATCATCAAATTCTACGTATTATTAAAAATTTTTGGTTACGATTTCATTGACTTATGTGCGAGATTTCTGCAGAACAAATTTGTTGCAAACTCATTGTTTATATAATTAAATACACAACAAAGTATTATATAAAAAATTAATACATGTTCATTATTCTCAAGCTGCTGCCTTTTAAGCCCTTGAGTTCTAATTGTAAGTCCCGCGATGGTTTATATTTTCTTGATTCGAAAACAATCACGATCGACTTTTTTGCATTTAGATAATTCTTACGATTTATTTCAGAGCGTATACAAAACCGGCAGTCAACTTATAATTACAGCAATGACAACCAGCAAAAGCAATTGCGGTTTCTTGTATAAATTTATGCAGCAAATAAGATCATAATTTATTTCGATTTAAAAAAAAATCAAGGCACAATAATGATCGTCGCGGATATAATATATTCGAATTGCGAGTATCAAGATATTATATGTATCTGTAACTTGTATATCTAGATAGAAATTATTACGCGAGTATCCGATCATAATTCTATTTATACTTTGAACAAACATGGCTTGTTTATTGAAATCGGATTATCTTTACTTTGCATCGAAACAAAAGGGGCGATTTAAATCTTTTTAGTTTTATTCTACTAATTATCGATAAAATAAATCTTACAAATTATGTAAAAATGATGGTAAATTCGAAATATATATATCTTTATTACTTCAACTTATGCCAAGAAGGGACTTGGTTTACAATTTTGTCTTGAATTCGAAATACACGATATAAAAAACAAAGTTAATTAATACTTAAATAACGAACACACATAAAATTGTGTTTACGAAAAAAACAGATAGATAATTCGTATCAGAAGCACGTGTTGAAATTTCCGTCACAGGCTACTTTTTAACACTCTAACCGTGCCTCATAAAATAATAAAAATACGAGGCATGCAAAAATACTGCTGCACGTAAATGAATCACGTACGAAAATGTGCGTTCGCGTTTCACGCGTTGCGTACGCGTGACATGTACCAAAATATTTTTTTTATTGAGAAATAAAAAGAGATATAATAAGCTGAGACGCGCCATTAATCCAAATTTTACAGAAATATCTCGCGCGAAAATTATATTAAAAAAACATATGAATAAATCGAAATTTTACTATATTGTATTTTTTTAAATATCAATAAGGATCATTTATTTCAATAAACACATATCGTGACAGAACTACTAGTAATATTATTCCTCTGAAGCAAAGATAAATCTACTCATAAAAAATTGTACACAACACACCAGCGTATGGCTACCGAAAACTAAACCGACAAGCCATCAATCTTTCGTGTTATGCAACGCATACGTTTGCATTCAAGAGCTGATATCCTGTTCTCGATAAAACGTAATGGTTCGCAAACATCTATAATGCGTTCATATTTTTTTACTTGAGTCCTCCAAAGACGGATTGTATATAAACATTATCACCGTTACATCAATAATCCACTTTGTATATGCCACATTTATTTTGCATAAAACAATAATATAAGAAAACTATTAACAAATATCAATAAACTTGAAAGAATTAACAAGTGTATAAGAATCAATTATGATATATCTTGCATCTGTTTATTTATTACAACGAAAACGATGATGGAAATTCCTCACTCAAAATCAAAACATCAATCTAAATTACTACAAGTTCCGTTCATTCGGGCGGATTAACTTCGAAATATAATCGAGACAATCCTCGATACGAAAACGCAAGACTACTCCGACATCTAAGAGGATTCGGTTATCTCCGGAGATCGCTTTCTCGGTGGGCGTCGTTACCGCAATTGTAATCGAGAAACGCTTTATGCTTTCCGTAGAATGTCGCCCGAAATTGTCCACTGCGGTTCACGAGAAGCCTCGTAAAAAAGACGTCGACCTTTCGATACTGCTTGTTTTGTTTTTTTCTCTTTTCCTCCACATACGTCCGTCTGTCTGTCTGTCTGTCTGTCGCGAATATTCTTGTTATCGAAAATGCGTACCAGACACGTACCGCGCGGAAACCGCGTCCGTAAATCCTTCGGTTTGCAATGAGTTTAACAGCTTGCACGTTGCCCGCCGAAAAAAATCTTGGACGAGTTCGTTCGTCGTAAATGCTGACATCGGACGATTTGTTACGTTTTCATATGACGCAAAGAAGCGCAAAAGTTTTATTCTCTTGCGTGCGTAATGGTTCGCAAGCGTAAATACGAACGTATTTATTATTATTACTAACTCTAATATATTCTTATGTAAAAATTTTAATTAAAATTTAAAAATAAGGAATATTATTTTCTGAAACAGTAAAAGTCCTGTGACGTTTTTTTTAGGATATAATTTTCGCTGATGATACGAATGCTGGAGGTACGTGAGGAGAGAAATGACATTTTTTACAGCTTACTCTTATTTACCGGAATACGCCTTAATTACGCCCGCACCTATACTCGACGGTCGCGAGCGCCGCTGCAATTATCACGTAATTGTTTTTAAACTAATTGTACGCGCGTGCATTCAAACCATTTCGCACAACCTAATCGAGTTTGCAAACAAAATTTAATTCTTTCGCGCACATTGCCAGCGCCAATTTGTTGGTAATCATCATCACTATCCGCTATGATACTTCTACATCTACAAATAATGCTTTATATAACCGAAATTCCGCCATCTCGATATTTTCTGCACTCGTCTTCATATATTTTTCTTGACAACTGCGTTCGCGTTAGCCATGAGTTTTTAGCAACACTGTTCCGAAATGATCTGTTTCCTCGCGAGGTTAATGAGAATTTATTAGTGGCTCGGAAATATATCCGTCGGTGACACGATGTTGCGTAGAGGTTGATTTCTGCCATAGAGACATGTTTATTCAAAGTGTGTTTAAAATAAATTGTTCGTGGGTGTTAAGTGAGAGAGAAAAAGGGAAAGCGGAAGAGGAGAGAGAAAAAAACCATTGAATCTCTTACAATGTTTGAGTGACACTTTGAGGGCTCTCGCCGAAGGAATTTAATGAACCATTTAAAAGTACGAAAATGTTCAGTAACGCGATATAATATCAAACTTGTTCTAAATTTAAAGATTTCACTGCTTAATAATTGTCACAGATTCCAAGCGTTATCGACTTTTATCGCAGTGACAAATCACATCTATATAAATACATTATATTTAGATAACCCAGAAGGCTCTTCATAATCAAAATTATATGTTACATAACATTCAGAAATAGAAACAAATTTTTCTACTAGGCGAAAAATATAAAACATATACAATGTCTAAAGAAGATTATCTCTCTGCAAAAAAATGCTTTAATTTTAAAAAAATTAACGCATTAAATAATAAATAAATGTTAATGCGTAAAATAGATCTTGAAAAATGTTAGCTGATTTAGTCGATTATTCAAGTATAGTATTTTGTAGTATTAGTATAGTATTGGAAAAAGCATACCAAGAACGACAAACGCGTTTCTTATCTCGATGGACTACAATATTGCAGTCACGTACGAGGATCTAATTTTCTACCGACGGCTACGAAGTGAGCTTTCGTAGGAAATTGAGCATTCATCTCATTGCATTCTTCGATAAAATTCAATTATCTCAATCGATCTCATATATGATCGATCATAAGCTTTTATAGTTACAAAAAATATTCCTAATTGAAAAGAACTTATTATATATTGAATAACATTAGCTCAATGTTCAAATTAATTAAGTATTATTATTAATCAAAACCCATCATTAAAAAAAAATTCTACTAAAAAGTGATATCAATATACAAATATAACTGAAATATTTGTTAATTTTATAAATATACATAATTCTTAATATTTCGCAAATTGACCCGTTTAAGTAAATTAAGTTTATTATGATTAATAAAATTTCAATAATTGAGATTGATATAAACAACGGAATATGAAAATAATTACTATAATAAATATAGAAACAAATGCAATTATATAACTCATAGTATTCTCGCTATATAGCAGTGTGGGGATACTATATTTAACATAGTCCGCTAAATTGATGAAGTGTGAAAGTAAAATCGAACGCGACCTGACAGTTGACAATGAAAATATCAACTCGACAAGTGTGAACGCAACAAGTCGATTACGATATTTGTCCCGGTTCAGAATACTGTATGAGTTCTTACACATATAAATCACACACGTATAATGAAATCGCCGCTCTAAACAAGTTTAAACGAGAAAATAAACATTATAATTTGATGTTGTTAAAATATTTGCGTGCGACAATTTACATCAATTTATATAAGAAAACATTTATATATATATTTAATATTAAAAATATCAAGCAATGATTTTTTGCACAGAAAGGATATCTTTCGAAGATCCCAACGGGCTCTAGCCCTCTTCGTCATTGGGTGAATAAATCCGAATCCTCTGTCAGAGACATCGCCTGTTCTACAAAGAAAGGGAGCCAAAATCCTATACTAGAAAAACCTTCTCATGGGTGTAACGATATGCGTATAAAAAGAGACAGAGCTTCACTATCATCCTGTCATCGACAGAAATTGAATACTTGTCATGCCAGAACCAACGCTTTCCACATTTCAAAAGTGATTATAAAATTAGGTCGCCGTATTTCACATCGCATGCAGAACTAGGAGAATCAAAATCAAAATCATACATTCCACGTATTGTAAATTGTTTTGCTTATCCCGTATCATGTTGCGACTTTGTCGTATGTTACGGTAAAATTATTTTGCAGCAATTTGTATCAAATAATAATATTTTTCGAACACATGTATTATGTACTCGGCTACCAACTAACAACATACGCGCGTTTATCTGGATCAGATAACCATGTCCTAATTGTAAGAGAAATCTCAAGAGAACTGCTTTGCCGGCTATGGATTTGTATCTCATGATCCGCAACCATTTGCTGGAAACTCCAGACTCTAGCCCGAAACGCTACGGTTATATTAAAGAAAAGCTTGAGAACGGCTATCCTGATATTTTTCTTGAGACACCTATTGATTTCTATTCAGTACTGCTCTATCTGTACCTTCATTTTAAAATTAAAACTACATACCGATTTAAATATAATTAAAATTAAGTCTGTTTGCACAATACTCGGTGTCTCAGATTTGTTGTAGTTATTTATTTATGAATATCGCCCATTTGGAATATATTTAATTTCAAAAGTTCAAAAATTAAAAAATTATTATAGTTCATTCATTCAAACGTAAAATTTAGGAAATGCATAATAATGTATATACATATATGAGTCAAACGCAGTTGAGAGAATAATTTAAATATTATTTAACAAATATTTCGCGTTTATCTGTCTATTTTTTTATTAATATTCTTTATTAATAATTTGTGAATAATTAACATAAAATATCTTAGAGATTGGCATTTTTTCAATTTTTATTAAAAATAAAGTTCAAAAAATGAAAAAATTAATATTATATCAATTAATGGAGATTCAAATATATTTCTGAGTATATTAAAATAATCTCTCAACGATCATGTCCATTGCATAAATAAACAATTAATATTTCATAAGTAATAAATAATCAGTAAATGATACATTACCTTAAATTGTTTTGCCGAAGCCCGATGTCCCCTGGACCTCCTCCTCCTCTCAGTTGGTCATCGACGGCTGCTCTTCCATGGCATTCACTCGCGAAAATACGATCGCGCGGAGTTTTGTACGACAACGCGAACTTTGTCATATCATGACAAAGAAAAAACTCGAGAAAAGAAATCGCACGGAGCTAAAATCCGTTCGACATTCACGGTGCAGGCGAGCAAACGACAGAAGAAAATCTGCGCAGTTATTTCGCATGCCACTTGCTGTGATTATGCTAAATCCAAATACTTTCGTAAGTTTCCATGCTTTCAGAATATGAAAAATGAAATATATCTGCGTTTTAAAGTGTTTAGCGTATTTGAATATTGTATATAAATATAACAAATAAATAAAACGCAACAAAGTTGCGTTATCTTAAGATAACTGAAAATTATGGAAATATATTTCGCGAATCTGAATCATAAATTGTCGAAAGCTAATTAGTCGCGTGAAAACAGCAATTATTCGTCCGGAAGAATATTTTAACACTTCTCGCAATCGCGAATTGAGTTGTAATAATAACACGAAACGATTCTCGCTACCGTCTATCTTGCGTAAACGCCGCCGTGCGAATGATAAACAGCGCGCGTACACCGCGCACATCGCGGCGTAGGTCACCAAATCATAACAATCACCGACGTCACGAAATACCACGAAATTCCATGAAATACTTCGTGAAATTTTTCTGTTGTCATGACAAAATTCTCGTTAATACATAATATATAGCGTGATCGTATTTTTGCAAATGAGTGCCATGAAAAAGCAGTCGGCAACAAATTGAGAGGAAGAAGAGATCTAGAGGAGGCATCACGCGGGCTTCAGCAGAGCAATTTAGGATAAATAATTTATCATTTATTTATTATGTTACTTATAAAATATTGTCTACCTCTGCAGTAATCACGTAGCATTCCGCATTTGTGTAATACATCCTTGTAGCGAAAGTAGAGACTCGATATTGTAAGAAATATGTAGTAAATAAATATTTATAAAATTTAATAACATTATACACATATATATATAT